CTTAACCTTTAAGAAAAGAAGACTTATGTGAAGCAGGGAACAAACAAATATGCAGGTTATACAACAGAGTCAAAAAAACTGCAAAATAGTTGCTATTGAAATAAACATACAAAGGATCTTTTCTTTTAGATAAAAGCTGCAGATCAAACAAGAGCCTAGAAAACAGCTACCTACAGTCAAAATTTAGACAACTAAAAATAGCCCTGTTTTTAATTCAACAGCTTGATCTAGTTGAGATGCTAAAGAGTTAGATCAATTTTGGCACAATGTTGTTATGCTGAAATCAATTAACTTGTCTCCTTTACTTTAAGTAATCATGTGCCATTGAGTTGTTTTCGATTCCATGAACAGATTCATGACAATCTAACTCTATTTTTAAAAGTCCTCCAATGCAGAGGTGGTATTCAGCAGGTTCTTGACCAGTTCTGGAGAACCGATAGCGGAAATTTTGAGTAGTTCGGAGAAATGGCAAATGTCACCTCTGACTGGAGATTTTACAGTATCCTTCCCCAAGCCATGCCCACAGAACCGGTAGTAAAAAAAATTGAATCCCACCACTGCTCCAACGGTGAACTTATTGCCACTGTAACTGAATCCATCCACATTGATGCTATGAAACAGATATGGTAAGATAGTTAACATACTCTGTCACCTCTCCTTGTAGATTGACCTCTTCCAATCAGTTAGCCATGGTGTTAATCTCCATACACCCCATTTGCTGGTATAGCCTGGTGAGAACCTTGATTGAGTCTTCTTCTGTTACTTGCTACATTTCAGTGGATATTGCATCAGTTCTTGTAGCTTTCCCATTTGGTAATGACTGGAGTGCTGATCTAATTTTAACTTCTAGTATTAGAAACTCCTATATGTAAGGAATATTTTCGGAGGTACATTGGATTTTGACATCTCTGCTGTATTATATTTCAGTTTATTCCTTTCATCTTTCTTTGGTGACTTACTTCAACTCTCATCCAGTGTGCAGTGGATAATATTTTTAGCATTGGGTTATCCCTTTACCTTTCTTCCCTGCATGCAAAGTGTATGTTGGTGCTAACACTGAAAACATATTACACTGATTTACTGGAAACCCCCTGGTTGGAATTAGTCTGTTACTGTCTCCTGTTTAGACATTTTAAGTGAAGGCTGCTCTAGTTATAGAACAAGCATGGTATTCTTTTCTTTTAATGACCCTGCAATCCCTTGCATTGGAGCTCCAGCATTTACTGGCTGGATGACCTTCTTGATGTGGTATTATTTTCTTTTTAAGATAAAAAAAATCTCTGGTGACCCACTTGGGTCAGAAACATTACTTTCTGCCTATATATTTCCAGCAGGGAGCTGTGATGACCCGGGGCGTGGCACAAAGGCAACCCAGTCAGATAATCAGTAGGAGTCCCTTTATTAGCTCCAATTTCCCCCCCAATGTCCTGGTTACCATCTGGCTGGAGAAAAATTCTCCCAGGAACAGCCTTTGGCTGCAGAAAATTAAGTCTAAAACCTTGTCAACAAAAACTGTAATTGTAAGTCTAATCAAGGCAAGATGAAGTAATTAGTCCAGCAGGGTGGGAGAAGGAATTCCAGACATGAAGGAACGGCAGTAACTCAACACAATTGGGAGGATGCCAGGAACGCAGATAATCAAAATCAACAGAAGATAAACTCATGTTTGTTCCCAGCAAATGCCTGCATATCTTTTAAACTCTCTTCCCAGGTGTGGCTAATGAAGGGAATCAGGGCCCCTTCTTCCCCCCATAAGCCACACAACCCATGTTGCTCTCTTTTCTATTCCTCCCTGCGTGCCCTAGGATGAAGAGGGGATGGGCCTGGGTCTTCCTCTGAACTCCCTTCTCCCTTGTTCTACCACTCCCTGCTCTGCCCAGCTGGACTTTGCCCTTCCCCAGTTTCCTCCTCAGCCAATGGAGCCACACTCCCACTCCCTGTCAGCTGTTCATCTTCCTTCTCGGATTTAGACTCTGACAGGAGTATGACAGGAGCAGGCAAGGAAGAACAGAGGTGACATGGTTGAAATAGTCCCATTTTGTCGCTATTTCAGTCTCACTTGAATATGCATGCACACACAAATGAGGAATCTACACGTCTGTTCATAAAATGAACTGGACTTTAGTATCAGAGAAAAATGGAATACAAGCTACCGAATAAGAAGACATGTACAACGTTCCTGTTAATGTGTCAGCCCTTTAAGGTAGACCAGATCAGGAAACAAAAATCACAAGAAATCACAAGTAGAATGGATTTCTACTTTATTGATATAAGCCAGTAATGGTTAACCTTTTTTGTCATCGCGTGCCTGCACCCAAAATGCAATGCATGCGAGACCCCCTCACACGTCCCACCCCGTACATGCGTGGCAGATACTCGACAGTCAGCTGGCTGTCAGGAGGCATGCTCACATGCGCAGTGGATCTCTTCCGGGCAACGGCTCGTGTGCTGGCAGAAATGGCTCTGCATGCCACTTCCTGCATGCATGCCATAGGTTTGCCATCATGGATATAGGCTATAGCAGGGGTGGGATTCTACCAGTTTGCACCTATTCGCTAGAACCAGTTGTTAACATTCTAAACAGTTGGGAGAACCAGTTGTTAGAAGAAATTACTGGCCTAATCCTGTAAGGAAGGCAGGAAGGAAACATTCTGGTGTTGCTTACAGAAACTGCCTCTCCATTAACCCTTATTACATTCTTGGCAGGACTAGACTTCCTGTCTCTGGAACTTCTCTGGAGTTATTTTTCCCTCCTTTGCTTGTGTGCAATGATCATTCAAAGTTACAATGGCACTGAAAAAAATGACTTATGACCATTTTTCAAGTTACGACTCCCACAGTCATGAGAGGCCAGGCGAGGAGATGTGTGCCTCAATGTGAGTGATATTGAGTTGGCCATGCCCAGCCAGTCACATGACCACCAAGCCACACCCACCAATTAAGCCACGCCCATAGAACCGGTTGTTAAAAAAAATTGAATCCCACCCCTGGGCTATGGTAATAGATTTTTGAAAGACTGATCAAGTTTTCCCTTTCTGACTTCTCTACTAATCAGAGTTAAGGTGGAACCAGTTTAACTTTTTTCCAATATTCACTTTTCCCAAGCTTAAATCATATTTTGCTGAATGTTAATTCTTTTTTCCAAAGTCATATTTATAACTCGGTACACAATGCAAGTAAGTACTGAAATCTGCCAATATATGTGCTCAATTACAGAATTACAGTGCTTGAATTCAGAATCATATACATCACTTCACATTAAATAATACATTTTCCATCAGTAGAAACAACATCTATTTAGATGCCTGTGCATAACTATTTCCTTGTAGAAAATACTGCAAAGTAGGCTACTGGTAAACTCTGTTACTAGGCAACCAATGCAACTAGTTTGGATCACTATGGAAACAGTTGTGTTTCTAGGAGAATACAGGACTTTCAAAAGTATGTAGTAAGAGCATCATCCTTAGCATCATCTCTCAGTGAAAGTTATATAATTGCCATTACAAACTTTGCAAAAGTCCAAGAGAACACATGATAGCAGTGTTCCAATATTTGGAAGCCACAGAGAGTCAAGCTATTTTACAAAGCACCTTGAAGGCCATACAAGGAATAATGGATGGAAACGGATCAAGGAGAGATTCAACCTAGAAACAAGGAGAAATTTTCTGACAGTGAAAACAATCAACCAATGGAACAGAAGTTGCCCTGGGAAGTTGTGAGAGCTTCACTGGAAGCTTTCAAGAAGAGACTGGACTAGTGTTAGAAATAGTGTAGGGTCTGCTTGGGCAGGGAGTTGGCTAGATCAGGGGTCCCCAACCACCGGGCCCCGGACCGGGACCAGTCCGTGGAACATTTTCTACCGGGCCGCCGGTTTGCTGAGTGCCGCCATCTTGTTTTGATGAGAAAGTGCTTCCGGTGAGCTTTTCCGGTTGGAAAGCGGCATTTGGGTCCTGAAGGAATCCTCGTGCCTTAGTTTCATCGAAGGGGGGGGGGGCGGCTTCAAACAAAACTAAGGTGCGAGGATTCTTTCAGCACCCAAGGCAAGGCGAGCCGAGCGACCGTCCATCGACAAAGGTACAAAGGAGGAGTTGAAGGTGGCGGGGAGAAGCGGGGGACGGCTGGCTGGCCGGTCGCTCGGCTCACCTTGCCATGTGTGCTGATGCCGGTACCGGGCCGCGGAACATTTTGTGATGCCGGTACCGGGCCGTGGCACAAAAAAGGTTGGGGGCCACTGGGCTAGATGACCTTCAAGGTCCCTTCCAACTCTGTTAATCTGTATCTGTATCTATCATTCTGGGAGCCAATAGTCAGAGTTCTGGTGAGCTTAACACAGTGCATGACAAACCACTTCCATAGTCTATTGGAATTGGAATCATGATTAAGAATGCAGTCATTGCTGTGTCCACCGTGGCACATGCAAATGAGGACAAAAGGTTCTGAACAAGTAAAATAGTAGTTTCCTGGCAGAGCATTTGGCTTGAAGGTGTTTCTGAGGATTTAGTATGCATTGCTCTGAAGTGAAAGCAAAAATAGGCAGCAATTCAGCAGAATGCAAGAAATAATACTACATCTGTATTGATGGTAGATTTACTGATATTCATTATCAGGGCAAATAGCTGATAACTAAGATTATCTAGATTATCCTAGATTATCTCTAGGATTACAGAATATATTCTCTTTGATAATTGCAGACTAGCTCCAGCTGCGGAAAAGAAAAATGAGGATAGCAAAGAAAAACAACAGAAATAGGTAAAGAAGTAAGTTCTCCCTTTTTCACAAGTACAGACAATTTTAACAACGTATGGCCTTCACTGAAACTGCAACAAACAATGTCTTCACCTCTATATCATCTAATATAGGAAAGTTACCCAAGTCATTTTTCTAATTTATTATTTGTACATCCTTTTTAAATAACCTTCATTTGTATGTCCAGTGTATGGTGTTTTTCCAAATCACTCTTGTCGCCTGTCATTTTTTTAATTCTAGGTTTAAATTGTTGGAAGAAATATCCTTCTGAGTTCAGTTCCAAGTGGGGAAGAAGGACACTGGAAGCATGGAGGGTGTTTGGAAAGATGGTTTAATGGTGGACAGGACCATATGGCTTGGAGCTCCAAAGTGAAAAGGACATGCTTCAAGATGTTGGGTGCTTCAAGATGTTGGGTGAAGGAAAAGAAGGGCAGAGATGCTGAGAGACCCTTGGTTTTATATCCTCTGTTGGGCCCCACCTTAGTGTTTCCTGTTCCTGTGTAAGAAATATATCCCATTGGCTGTCAGACTCCCAGGGGCAGGGGTCTTAGCTAACTTTGTAGGCTTTGTCTGGACCACATGGCTTCACCTGAGTTCCAGGCTTGGTTGAGCCTTGCTGGATGATGATGTAATGAAAGGCTTTAGGCAATTCCTATAGCTCTACCTGGAGATCTTTGTTATGTAAAATATTTCTGTCCCAGGCCTTAATGGCCCACCCATTAAGAAAGGTGGGGGATGAGCTTCTGCTTCTGAGTTTCTACTTTTTAATATTTCCTAGGATATTTCATTTTTCTAGGAGAGGGGTGGGTGCTAACTTTCTACAAAATCAGTTTAACTCTTGTTTGGTAGAAGTTATTCCTCTTCTCTAAAATCATCTGCACACTATCTATGATGGCAGACATCCATAAAAGAAGCTTCTGACTCCATTGTTCAGAAATACCCTTGACTATGTCCAAAGTTGAAGTATTTTGTTCCATTTCTGTGTTAGTAACTTGAATTGAAGTCTTCTACTCTTTTAATTGTAATCTTTAATTCTTTGTGTTTCTCTGTAGTTTTCAACATTTAAGTTCCATCCTATGACTTTTTTTCAGAATTCCAGACATTTTCCACGGGAAGGACTGTTCCCAAGGGTGTTTTTCAAAAGGCAACTGGAGTTTGTTTGGTTTTCCTTGAAAATTTCCGTAGACATGGGAAGGATTCTTAAAATTAATTTCAAAATATTTAAAATGCATCTGGCTCATTCCTTAGTTTATAACTTTCCAAAAGCAACACTCTAATTCTCCTTTTGTCATTTATTCCCCGCTCCAACCAACTGACCCAGTGCTTCAGAATTGTCAACCTCAGGAATCATTAAGCCAAGATTCAATAGAGGACCATCAGCCACAGGCATCTCCTGTGCAGCTAGAAAAGTCAGATGATGACACATAACCCACAGATCTAGACTCATAAAGAAGCGAACAGAGCAAAGGATGAGGATTGAATAATGGCAGATACTGCAATTGCTTGGCATCTTCATTGGAAATCACCATTCAAAATTCTAGTTTGTGACTGTTGTTACTAATTCTTGTTCATGACTCTTTGATTCTTGGACTGGCTGACTACCTGTTTTGGCTTTGTAACTCTAGAAATGTATTTGGACTATGCTAATGTTTTGTGGGTTGTAATTAGCATTTTTCAGGCAAGCACTCTTTGCTAGGCATTTGAATTATATTCCTGCCTGCAGTTATTTGCTGTAGCTTCAGGCTATGTCTATGTTTTTATATTGCAATCTTGAGACAGATTACAAATTGCTCTTCCAAAAGCTATTGATATTTGAAAAGCAATAAAAAAGTAATTCCAAAAGTAATTAAAAAAATGAGGCTCAGCTTAATAATATGTTCATGTAGGCTATATTACAACTGCGAGCTTAGATGGAATCCCTCGGCTTCTAACTGCTCAACTCACCAGCTGACCACAAAAAGAATTGGATCCTGCTAGTATACTTGAGAGAAACAGCCCAGGGGACATGTGGAATATCTTTCCTTGCTCTGGAGAAATTTTGGTGGTCAGAAACTACCTCCTGACTGCTAACTTCTACTAGAATGTCATCTTTCAGGGATGACTAGCTTACCAGATCCTCAACGTAAGTCTCCACAACACTTTTCACAAATGGAATTTTTTGGCATCATCAAAATCTGCCAACTAAAACAAGCAAGAGCAATATGAATAATTAAGAAATATAGATCTAGAAACACAGGTCTAAACAAGTTTAAAGATAATTTTTTTAAAAAAACTATAATTTTTCAATCATGTGATAAAATGTATCTTTATATAACATCCTGAAAGTCTCAAACCTTACACAATTTGGTGATTTTTAAATTACCCTAATATGGATTTTATTAAGTTTCACAGTGACTACCTTTCCTTTTTTGTTTAACAAATGAAAAAATACAGTGTACTTTTGGAAGGAGAATGAGAGAAATTTCAATAATTTTAGATTATTTAATGTTAACCTTGACATATTGTGGCAAAAGAAGCTTATTGAAAGTGGCAGTTAAACTATATAAATAATTAACAATGCAGCCTGCTCGAGTACTGCATTTAACAGCACTAGCGTGAATATAAAACAGTAATATCACAAAACCACTTAATAGTCTACAATTCATATAAATTAATTCATTATACAGTTCATGCAATTCATAACAATCACCTATATGAGAAAATGTGTCATCTAAAGCAGGGGTCGCCAACCTTTTGGACCTCAGGGACCACCAAACTCATAATTTTAAATCCTGCGGACCAGAGACCCTGGGAAAATCCCCCCCAAAAAAGTCTGCAGGAAAATTCCCCACTCCATTTTCTTACCGATCGATCATTCTTTATTTGGGATCGCAGGATACCGTCTCCAGCTCCGTTTTCAAGGGGCGGAGAGACTTTTGGCTTCATGCAAGGAAAGCAGCAGAAGCAGCAGAAGTCTTTCTTTCTCTCCCCAAACTTCACCAGAAATGAGTCTTTGCCGGCACAGCCTCTTGGTGCAGGAGGTCTTCCAGGGTCCCAAAGACTCATTTCTGGCAGATAAGCGCACCAACGTGCCTACCGTCCCTGTCCTATTGTTTCTCTTATTCTTCTTTTATTTTTCTTATATGTACCCATTTCATGTATTCACAACTATGTATACACTTATACTTATTATCTTGTAAACAATTGGCAAATCAAATAAATAAATAAAATAAATAAAAAGAAAGACTTTTGCTGCTTTCCTTGCGTGCAGCCAAAAGCAGAAGAAGAAAGAAGCGGAAAGAAGCAGCCTGGTGGCCAGGCCAGGCATGTGGGGCGAATGGGGCAAGTTCCCTCCCTCCGCCCTTTCCCCCCTCCCCTCACTACCTCATGTTGTTCACAATGCAAATGACACAAGCCTTGTGTTCCCGCGGGCCATGTAGGCGGCACAGTCTTGTGTTCCTTCACAGCCTGGACTAATTGCTTTGGGGGGTGACATTTCTCTGCGGACAACCAAAATTTTCTCGTGGACCACCAGTGGTCCCTAGCCCACCAGTGGCGACCACTGATCTAAAGGTTAGTTTTACTTTAGCAGGGCTTAACACAACTATATATATGCAATATATATCTCATTATGAAAATCCATAGTTGGATATATATCTAATTCAAAGAAGGAACAGAACACTCACTTAATGGCATCCAAAGGTGAATATGGTTGCAGAGGCTTGGTTTATTAAATAAACTGCTGTTACGAAGATAACTGTGTGCACCCTTCTACCTTTTCAAATTACTGGAATCTTTTTCAATCTAGTATTCATATCCAGATACTAGAGCACATTATCTTGGCGCATATGTATGGACTCTGTAAAGCGTTTATCTCAAATCTAGTCTGTGTGAAATTCTAGATGATGCCAATGAAAAACAGGTAATCTTAATTCTCCTAGTCACTAAAATATTTAACCATTAAAGCAATCTTGCCACAAATATCAGATAGTCTTTGCAAAGAGTTGCGGCCTCAAATTAAAAACATATCATTGTGCAACACATTTTATTTTGCAGGTTTTCTGTAACACTAGCAAGTAGCCAACCATGAGCTTTTGTCAGTATTGTTATTGGAGCTGTTTAATCTATACTGCTTCTGGTTATCTTCATGTTTTTTAATAAAAGTTTTTATTTTTTTAAGAGAAACATATACAAACAAAACATAAAAACATAAAACCATCTTCCATTTTATATACATACAGTGCGTCAGTTGGTTACAAATCTTTTGTGCTATCCTTTCTTCGTCATTACTCACAGTTTATATAATTTTTCACATTGTCAAAGTAACATATGTATTAGTTATTAATCATCCATGACTAACTGTTTATTCCATCATTTTATACGAGATATTCCAAATTTTATTTTAAAATTTATATTGTGCTTTCATCCAATGGTTATATATGTCTATATTATATTTTATATCAATCTATTGAACTTCTATTACAAAATTATCTAATCTATTACATTACCATGTCTTTTTGTCCAACATTTGATAAAACAAATCCCATATTAAATAACATTGGCTTATCTTCTTGCTCTCTAATTTCAAATGTCAATTTACTCATTTCAGCAGACTTGCTTCTGGTTATATCCATGACTTCGTGAAAAATGTCAGGTCTTGCAAGTATTGTTTGGAGATTATCCTTTGGGCTTGTCATCGAACCTTCACTCCTACCCATAACCATGGTTCTTAAACCATGGGGCAATTCTGTGTTAGCTGCTTGTTTGTGTGTGCGGCTGTCAAAATGCTTGACAAGAGGGGTTGATCAAGTGTGTTTTTGTTGGGACGGGTGTGAAATGATAGCATTCGAGACTGACGGTGTACTATATAGCAAGTCTCCATCCTTGGCAACTTTAAGACTTGTGGACTTCAACTCCCAGAATTCCTCAGCCAGCAAAGGAATTTTTTTTTTATTTTGTCTGAAAAACTGTCAAATAGCATGTTGTAACCTTTTAAAGCAGGGGTCTTCAAACTTGACAGCTTTAAGACTTGTGGACTTCAACTCCCAGAATTCCTCCTCCAGTCATGTTAGCTCAGGAATTCTGGGAGTTGAAGTCCACAAGTCTTAAAGTTGCCAAGGATGGAGACCTCTGTACTATAGGAATCTGTAATTGGCAGCTGATCTAAATGAAAGCAGGCGCAACTCGGAACTTCCCTCAGAAGTTACGAGCCTCCCATTGTTTTACACCGCATTTGCTGCTCAGCCCCAGCAACTGCGGTGAAGGCACCCACTCAACACGGGACGGCACATGCGCAGTCCGCTCCCTTGGAAAGAAACCAACCCCCCCCCCGCGCGCAAGTGACGTCAGTATAGCGCGCCATCTCTTGCTTGTCATCTGTTCGCGCAGCCGCACGTGGCTCGGGCATGGCGGC